GAACCACCTTTGGTGGGAAGGGAACAGCGTTCCGTGCGCCTTCGGCGGTGAGTCATGCCGGCCACATGACCACGGAGGTGTCTTCAGACAGTGCTGACTCTTGGGCTTTGAAATGGGGATGAGCAGTGCCCCCTAGAGTCGGGAACGACTAGCACCTATGTGCGAGGGGAATTGTTACCTTTATCTAAAGTTAGTGGCACTGAAGAAAGTGATTCATGACTCCTCCCATTGAAACATCCCCATAGTCACGTGTTCAAAATTCAGACGCTTTGGCAAATTGACTTGTACTTATGACGGTCCTGGAGTCACATGTTCCTTTTTTCTGACAAGCAAAGTCAATGGGGAAGACAGATTCACTGAACAACGGCGGTGATTTGCTTAATAACTGCGGCAACCACGATGCTAAAACTCACTCTAACCAATGTCTCGCTTACAGCCGCAGAAATGTTGGGCTCAACTGCAGTCGTAAGTCGAGGATTTACCCGTAGCCGCCCAATTCACACACTGGGCAGCATGCAGCATGAAAAACCCACAGTGAAAAAAACCCCACATTTTGCCCCCGCGTCCCATTTTTCTTGCTTTTAAACCAAGAAATGTACGGGAGGTTGGAGTAGGGCCAGTGCATACCTGCCTCAGAAAGAATATATAGAATAAAAAGAGTTGGAAGGGACCTTGGAGGTCTTCTAGTCCAGCCCCCCACTTAGGCAGGAAACCCTACCCCACTTCAGACAAATGGATCTCCCAACATCATCTTGAAAACTTCCAGTCTTGCAGCACTCACAACTTCTGGAGGCAACAATTGTTCCACTGCTTAATTGTTCTCACTTGTCAGGAAAAGGAATTTATCCAGTTTCTTTATTTGATTGATTTATGCTATCAGGTACCAGGGATACATTGGTGCAGCTTTGGTTCTTGGTGGTGTGGACATCACTGGGCCTCACCTGTACAGCATTTATCCTCACGGCTCGACCGACAAGCTGCCTTACGTCACAATGGGTGAGTCACGCTCCTTTGCACAACCGGCGTTGAGATGTCTGCGCTGCCCCCTAGTGGGGGGCCCGGGGCATTTAATCTCCCCCCCTCCCCCCGCCCACGTGCGTCCTTCCGATGATTCAGCTAATAGAGCAGAAAAAGAAAGCGAAAATTCGCAGCTGCTTTAATGCTGCCTTTGATCCCCTCTGGAGACTTCTGAAAAGAATTGGAGGAAGCTGGAAAGGGGGATTTCCTCACTCAGATTGGAATTGTTTTATTTTCCAGTGTGGGGAAAAAACACCTCAAAACACGATTTGTGGGCCAGCTTTCTAAAACGCTGACAGCAAACTTTTTTTAGCAGCGAGTAGCACGCCGTGTGCTCATCAGGGCTGTGCTCCGGAAAAGCCAAACTTCTAGGTTCTGGCGCGCAAGCGCACCCAATGATCAACTGGCCAGCACGCATGCGCAGAGTGCTTTGGTGACTCCATCCAGCCACCTCCTCTGCAGTCCCCTTCTTCTTCTTTTGCCCTCTATCTTTCCCCGCATGAGGCTCTTCTCCAGGGAGCCCTTCCTTCTCCTTAGGTGGCCAAAGTACTTGAGTTTCCTCTTCAGGATCTGGCCTTCAGGGTTGATCTCCTCTAGAACTAGCTCTATTCTGATTGATTGATTGACTGACTGACTGGTTGCATGGCCTTGCAGTCCAAGGGACTCAATGCAGGAGTCTTCTTCTCCAGCACCAGAGTCCAAAGGCCTCCATCCTTTGGCGCTCAGCCTTCCTTATGGTCCAACCTTCACAGCCATCCATGGCAACTGGGGAAACTATAACCT